TCATAGAAATTTAGAGGATAAAAATCAGCATGGTTCCCACCCCCAGAAGGTAGCCAATATAACATTTTGGTGATTTCATTCGCTTGTCCTTTCTTCCCTCTCCCGCGTGTCCCCTCAGAGAGTTCCACGTGTGTGTGTAGTGTACAATCAGCCATGGCTATATAAGACTCTGTGGTATGATCCACACTATAAAGCAGGGTTATACTGTACATTTCTGCTTTTTAAAGTATTTTTAAATGGTCACTAGTCATCTCTGAAAAGGCACTATGTTAGGGTGAATGTTTACTCCACCATATGAAAACCTCACAGCATCACTACCTTCTTATTGTTGGGCATTTATGTTCAAGGTTTTAGCACAAGGTGGACACAAGGAAAACAAAGACCTTCCCTGGGAACAAAAGGATCAATTGCTCAGAGTTCTCAAGCAAAAATGGCCAACACCAGCATTGCATCAACATTTTCTCTCCTGGTCTTGATCAGGAGAGAAAAGTCTCACAGCACTTTGACTTCCACTGGCGGTTGAGGCGGAGGCAGGAGATGCAGGAGGCTGACATGCTAAATCTTCATCCGCTGTCAGAATACTTCTGCAGCAGCCTTGGGGGGCCAGCCCCAGGCAATGAAGGGTGACAAACATTCCAGAGGAGGGAAATTGCCCCTCCCCCACCCCAGCCCCCCCTACCCCACCCCGTCCTTCTGGAGCAGTGAGTAATCAAACACCAGACAGAACAGTGGGAGAAGTGGCCAAACTGAATGCCGCGTGTAAGCGGGGCTCTGTAAAGAGATGAAGGGACCACAGTCAATGAGGCAAAATGGGGGTCTGGGACTTGAAGAGAGGCGGACCCTACAGGGGAGGAGGGGGTCATTCGTGTGACAGAGACTCAAGCTCGTACCTAAGGTTTGCCCGCCCTATAGATGGGTCTTTCAAGTAGAGAGGGAATTACTTCTCTGTAAGACCCCAGGTTTCATTCTTCTAGATAGTTGGGGTGAAAGGGCCCCTACTGATTTCAGCTGGTCATAACCCAGGACTTTGAGGGAGGCCTACCTCCACCCACTGTGTGACCCTGTGTCTCTCAGCTTGGTGGCGGAGGTGGGAGCTGCAGAGTGCATTTGGGGGCAGGGGAAGTGTGGATGTGTCCAGCATCTCGCGGAGTTTCCTACTTTTAAAATGTTTTTAAAGTGTGTATTTATTTTTTAGTCTTCTGTTCTCCCTTGGAAGACTCCAGGAGCGCGGCGAGGGGACTGCAGTAAATACATCAACAGGGCACCTTTGTCACATATTTACTTGGCCACCAGACCCTCGCCAAAAGCCTCTTGGCCACAGTTCTCCCAAACCTCCAATCCGAGAGG